TCTCTTCGTGTGGTCAACCAGATTTGAGAATTAACTAACTTTGATAGTCTCAATCTGCACAAAAATTACCAAAGCAACATCAACCAAACCTGACTTCCAAACAAAATTAAAACGCAAAGAATTAAAACGCAAAGAATAAAAGTTATTAGGAACTTGCATATTTGTGCAGGCACTATGCTCTTTCCACGCTCATGAGTAGAAGGTGCAGAATGATCGAGTTCCTCGCACACATCAGCGAAAATCCGGGTCGCCGCCTCTCAAATACCCTTGTCGCCTGGAGATCTCCCAAGATTCCAAACCTAGCGATTCCAGTTCCATACCAGACACCATTCCCATGTTCATCAAGTACCTCCTCTTCTCCGCTTTCAGCTTCCTGGCCCGTTTCTCATACCCGGGCAACACCAACTCTAACACCCAAGGAAATACGTACCCTTCCATAACCAGCATCGTTCTGCCTTGCGTTAGTAGGATCATGTTACCCTGAGGATTGAAGAGCTCGTGCCCTTGTACAATAATCCCTTTGGACTCATCGAGCTGGCAATAGCAAAACACTTTTCAGATCTGCAAAACTCATCAACAATCCTCCATTTCATATCATGGAACCCACTAAACAATACTCAAACTCAACAGAGATAAGAAATAATCACCTGAAGCCAAGAAGAAACCACGATCCGAGTCTTCCCCACATACTCTCTGGATCGTAAATATCAAATGTCCTCTTCATCGGAGACGTACCGTAACTCATGGGTTCAGTGATTGCATCGTCCATGGCAACGACCACGGAGCTGAGATGAGAGAGAGAAAAGGGAAATATGAGATGTTGCAGTGATATTGAGTGAACTGATATGGAAGAGTAAGAGTGATATCACATTTGTAAGAGGGCTTTCCAACTTCCACCGTGTTTCAGTCAAAAAGTAATAATGAGGCAGACGAAAAATGATGATGAGCAGACCAGACCTCCCTCCCTCATCTCTAAGATTTGGCTGAGATTTTTTACTCCCTGATCTATCTAGTCACTGACCCTCTCTCTTCTCTCTTTAAGTTAAGAAGACTGATACACCATCTCTCACCAAAAAGCATCGATGGGACAAATCGGCGATTGAAATCCCATCTCCAGAGCATCCATCATCAAAACCCTTAACACCCAAAAATCATCGGGCCTAGAAAAGAATCCCTGTGACCAACGCGATTTTTCTCTGATCGTGCTCCAGGTCACCCCAAACAAAAGCAAGAAATAACACACACAAACGACGGCATGAGGACAGTCACGTTATGCGCGCAGCTGAGATCGAAAGAATAATTTCTAGTCAAATTTGCTGCATCAGTGCCAAGCGTTTTGAGCTAGAAAAAGCAGTCTGACAAAACTCAGCCCATTTGACTAGTCAAATTTGAGCTAGAAAAAGCAGTCAAATTGGCAACTGAGATTGAACAGAAAAAGCAGTCTGAATGCACAATGCCAAGCGGTACGTCAGGTACTACTAGTAAGATATCTCTATCTAGACCATGAATTAAATCGAGTTTGGGGTATGATACTATACCCTAACCTCTAATGGATAAACCCCAAGCACCGATTTTCTAAACCCCAACCTGAAGTTTGATTTAATGAAAAACAAAAATTGACGGTTGAGATCAGCCGGAGCTCATCCAAGTACATCTAACGACTAGATCACCTGACGTATACTATACGCCTGACGTACACCAGTCATCACCATATATATATGGTGCCTTCTACGGTACCCCGGGTGAAATCCGGTGCACCACATACCTTGAGTATGAAAACGCTATCTAGACCTTGAATTAACAGGATTTTTGAGCATGATACTATACCCTAACCCTTAATGAGTGAACCCTGGGTCCTAATTATCTAAATCGTAAACTATAAACCCTAAGATGGTGCATTGATTTTTTGCCTATATTTGGACGAATCATAGCCGTCGATTATTGTTTCTAATTAAATTGATCTTGGTGTATAAGATTTAGAGAATTAAGACCTAGATTTTGATCTTTAAGGGTTAAAGTATAGTATCATGTCCGAAAGATCAGTCAATTCAAGTTATGGATAGCGTTTTCTTACTCAAGGTATGCGGTACCCCGAATTTCACCCGGGGTACCGTAGGTGGCTACTTCGGTGCACTCACTTTTTTTGGTGCATTCAGTGCACCCACTTCTAAAAGTGGTCAAAATACATTAAATTTTGTAATTTAATGGGTTGTATTAGTCTAATATGATGATATAACATAGAATCCCAACTAATCAACCCATTACCCTAACCTATTAACCTTCAATTTTGAATCTCAACCCAAAATCCCAAATTGTAAACCCTAACCCTAAATTCCTAAACCCTGAATCATTCAAATTAAAGTGAATCTTGAATGATTTTTGTACAAATTCATGTGGTTCTTGTTCATCATACCACAAGTGATGATTAACATCGTTTTCACATGAATCGTCTGCTCAGAATGACGATTATGAGGCGGGTGCATTGAATGCACCCAAAAAAGTGAGTGCACCGAAGACATAACCATATATATATATATTAATTTGTAGAACCCATAGGTATTCATGAACCCATAAGTTCGAATTTGACAAAACTCAGCCCAACCGGTCCAATGCCATTCCTAGTAGGCGGGTCCATATAGGTAGAGGCATATTCAGTTCTGCAACCCTTAGTTTTTTTTAGATAATGGTGATATATGTTAATTTTTTGTTATTAGGTACCACTGAAGGGATACCTTAGTTAGATCTGGAAAATTCTCTTCAGTGGTAGCAAGATCTTCATTGTTTATTCCGTAGCAGATGTTATTGAACGAAGTCTATGTCGAGAATTAACTCGTTTTGATTGTGAGAGATTCAAAATGGTATCCTTATACTCATTTCCTTACAGAGCGTCTGAAGGAAACTTCTCTTCCTAGTTCCTATTTGTCTTACTTCGCTTATTCGGCATACATAAATATGAGAAGCTACTGCGCTATTTGGTATTGGATTGATTCCGACGAAGAATTACAGTGACATGACCCAGAAAGAGAAGCTGAAACAGAGCAGAGTCCCCCGGATTTTTACCGTTGTCATTGTGCATACACATAAATACTACAAGACAATGAAATGAATTCTAAGGCCAAACCATGTCGACGCAAAACAGAGGCTCCTCGATGATTTCATCTACAATCTCCGAGTCCTTAACACTGGCAGCAGCGGCAGTGGAAGCCGAAGCGGAAGAGGATGATGAAGAAGAGATAGCTGAAGCGGCAGCCGCGGCAGAGGAAGTGGCAAAAGTGAAAGGAGGCCGCGTGGCAGCTGCGAAGACTAGGTTTGGGTTTTGCGGCCGAACAATCTGGGACAACAGAAGCACCAGTGAAGCCATAACAAAAAAGAATCAAACTTTAGAAAGAGGGAATGGGAGTAAGGTAGGAAACGAAGGTGGGCTCGATTTCTTTTTGTGATCAGAGGATGGATGAATGGAAATCATAGCTAGCTGACTTCCCTCTTATAACAGATGTAACTGTGAAGATCAGCAGGGCGCCATTGGATTGTCAGCGTGGCGGCGTGGTGTTGGTGGTGGAGGGCATTCAATTCATTTCAAAACAGGGGGGGTGAGTGCTTTCTGTTGTTTCGATGAAGAAAGTGGGCTAATTATCATAAATGGTCATAAAACTATAAAGTTTGTACAAAACGATAATAAACCTTTAATTTTGCATGTTTCAGTAACAAATGTTTGGACTAATAACAAAAAGGTAATTCCGTCTATCTCAATCCAAAAAACCGTTACTTTCGTCCAGTCAGCATGCCACGTCGTTTGAGATATTAATTAAAAAATTAAAAATCAAATCCAATTTGAACTGATAACCCAACCGAAAACCCTAATTCTATACTCACCCACCCGAATTCTTCGAGACAGAAACACCTGGGTTCGTCTTGAGCAGGCTCTGATGATTGTCGTTCGTCGTCGGCCCCGTACCCGTCTTGCACAGCGCGGAATGCTTGTATGCTCCCGAGGTCTTCAGCGCCATGTCCCGAAGCTGCCACAAACAACCACAGAATTACGCCAAATTAATTTTAACAGAGGTTTAGGGGTTTATGGTCACAGGAAGGGGGGGGGGGGGGGAATTAGAAAACCTGAGATGTGAGGGATTTGATTGCTTGATTGTTTTTAGCGTTGGGCGAATTGAGGTCTCTAATTAAGAAGAGTATGGACGAGAGAGAGTGTCTGAGAGATATGGGTTTTGAAGTTGGGGGTCGATCGTCGGGGGAGGGCGAAAAGACTATCGCCGGACGGCAACTGCCGAGGTGGTAGTGGTTTGGGGATTCCGTTGCCGGCTGAAATCTGCTAAATTCGAGAGCAGCCGGTTCGCTCGGAGACGAAGACGATGGAAGGATTGAGTTCGTCATCGTCGGCGAATTGGTAGTTGAAGCTGACGGAAATGCCGTGGGTGAGGCGGCGGTCGTTGGCAGAGGAGTTGTCTCAAGAATTTGGGCGGGTGGGTATGGAATTAGAGTTTCGGTTGGGTTAGTTGAATTGGGTTTGCTCATTAATTTTTTAATTAGTATTTTAAATGATGTGGCTTGCTGACTAGACGAAAGTAACGGTTTTTTGGATGGAGATAGACGAAATTACCTTTTTGTTATTAGTCCAAACATATGTTACTGAAACGTGCAAAATTAAAGATTTGTTACCGTTTTGTACAAAGTGTATAGTTTTGTGACCATTTAGGATAATTACCCGAAGAAAGTGGGAAAACCAGGGACGGAAAACTCCCCTGTTTTCTAACGCCGATGGTTTTGCGTACTCTGTAGCAGAGCAAATATAAACATTGGTTTTCCCAACCAATGTTGTAAATTGGTATGAATTAGATGAGATGTTTCATATGACACACACGCCACGACAAAGATGGTTTTATTTGATCAATTTGGATTGTTGAATGTGAAGAAAAACAAGGTTAACCTATGTGAAGAGGGAGAGCTCGTTTAGCACAATCCAAAAACAGAATCAAGAGAGAGAGCTGCTGACGAAGCTATTGAAGGTTAAAAGATCACAAAGCCAGTCATCAAGCCATGCACCAAACCAGAGTCATCCCCACCAACAAGACAGCAAGTATAACCAGAAAACTAGTAACTCAATCTAAAAGAAACAGAAGATGGCTGCAGCAACAGAGAAATTGCAAGATACATAAATTAACAGTGAACCAGATGACAAAGAAGTTGCTGTAATACATCTGACCGGCAACGAATAACAGCATCCTCTCTGAACAAATCCTATATGGTTCTTTAGTTCAGTCCACGGTTCAAGCTCGTTTTAGGGGAAGTAATAGTCTTCCTTTAGTCCCCTGAAAGGAAGATACCTGAATGCCTCCCGCAAAAACAGTTCTCTAACACCATGTTCACAGAAATGTAGTCCGAGGTTCAACAATCCAACAAAAAACTATAATGGACACCCAGACCTCTCTCTATGTTTGTGGTGCTAATTGTTTCAACTTCGCCTGCAAGACTGCCCCAGCTTCATCTGCAACTGTCTTTTTCTTAGATGCAAGCTGCAAATTTGGATTGAAGCCACAGATTTAAGTGAGAGAAGTAATATCGAAACACACAACGTACAGACAGCCACAAAACATTCTTCCATCTCAGCAACATTTCTTTCTATCATTATAATTAACTCAATCCGGTACCCATGCAAGAGAGCACAAACGCAGCATATAATCGTTTGTTTCCTGCTACAACAATCCCTACAGGAGTTGACATGCAAACCGAAATCGACTGACTTGTAATAAAACTTGTAGAAGGTCAAGACAAGAGGTTTGTGCACAGAAGAACATACCTCGAGAAGTTGATCGTAATTCGATTTCAGCAAGTGGATCTTCCTTTCGCAATAATCTTTCCCCTCCACCATGGTTTTCTAATGTTCAACACCAACCAACAACAAAAGAAGCTTAGCATCCATCCCAAAACCTTAATAGCCCAAATGAAGACACTGAGTAAGAATCTGAACAACAAAGCTTCAGCCTTTCGTGTTTCTTCCTCCAATTAAGGAGCAGCCCTCTAGCAAGAAACTAAAAATCATTCTTTCTTAGCTAATTTACAAAGCAGCTACTCCAACGAACTTCGATTTCAAAGGATGAAGACTACATACACAAAACCCACAAAATTTCTTGGGTGATGAATGAATAACTAGCGATAACTGACCTCGACGAAGTAGCCAGTGCCGATATCGACGAGGACCTTATTGGCGTCATCGAGAGTTCCAGGCACGTAGAGCGATGCTGTGAGAGGGACCAGCATTTTCTTCCCTGGCAAAAGCAATTTGAAGGAAAAAAGGGAGCAAATTTCAAATTAGAGGGAAGCAGAAGCAGAGATGGAGAAAGAGGAACAGAGGATGGAAGGGGGTAAAATACCTTGGGGGCGGAGGGAGAGATCGTGGAGAGCGGCGGAAGCGAGATCGAGGCGAGTGGTGGCGGTGCGAATGTTGTTGAGGCTGTCCTGCAACAGATTGACTTCGAGATCTGTCTGCTCCTTCACCGCCTTGAGTTGTTCGACGCTCATCTTCTCCATCTTCGCCACTCTCGCCGCCGGTCAAGCTGAGCCTTTGCTAGATGGCGTTCCCTTCAACTACCTCGTATGGTACTCTGCTAATCGGCGTCGGCGCGCGCTGGGTCAAGGTTTTAGTTTAACCCGCTCTTCGATTTGCAGGATTGCTAAGTTGCTAACAACGAATAGTTACCCAAAATTATGTTTTTTTATTTATTTCTTAGGTCGTTGGCAATTTTAATCACCAATATTAGGAGTATGTGGGTGGTTAATCCGCATTTCGTGTTGCTATATCGATCCATCCGAAAATAAACAAATCGTAGTTGATGGTTGATTAATATAGGTGAATTGCAGATTGATAAATCTCTTATTAGAACTTATTCGAGTGGCTTGTGAGTGGATTGTGGGTCACTCGATAACCCTCACCATATTTTTACACCACAAAAAGTTGTTTCTTGTTTGTACTATCGAATCGACATCATATTTTCTAACCGCACTACACACTGACCATCGACTTCTAAAGGCAGAGAGAATAAAGATTATTTTTGTACTACTAGTATTAGTTACTATATTGTGTAATCTACATTAGATATTGAGATGCAAATTATAAACTATTAATTGTATCTAGGGATGGCAATTTCGACCTGACCCGTTTTACCCGACCCGTTTGACCTGTTTTGGGGCGGGTCCGACCCGCCCCGTAGGCGGGGCGGGGCGGGCATGGGTAGTCTAATCGACCCGACCTGCCCTGACTCGCCCCATTCTCGACCCGTTTTTGTCTAAATTACATGTAATCTTAGTCAAATTACTTAGAATTTTCCTTTTATTGCTTCATATTTTGGCTATAATAAAGTTGTAAATTAGTAAAAACCTCAATTTCTCCAATAATTTAACTACAATTGTCATAATATTGTTAGTTTTTTTAGTCTTATAATAAAAATAACGAATATTTCTAATGTTTTCATATAAATTGCATACCCATTGGGTCGACCTGCCCCGACCCGCGACCCGTGATCAATTACCCGACCTGGACCCGACCTGCCACGGAGCGGGTCTGGGTACCAAGAAACCCGCCCCGGACCTGCCCCATTGCCATTCCTAATTGTATCAATGGCGCTAGATGCGTCAATTTTTTCTACACAATTGGTTGATGGAGACATGGAGTAATGAAAAATTTGACGCGAATATTACATATCCACATCAACTGCACTTATCCGCAATGTCGGAGTCGGGAATTTTATATAAGGGTGTCCTCTTTCATAAAATAAAATATATTTAGATAATAATTAGAAATTAAAAAAATTGATTAGTATAAGTTATAACAAAAATTCACGTGTTTTCACATTCTGAAAAAGTTGCAAAATACAATCACTGTTTACAGTGCTAAAAAATCCCTTTCAATATATCCTACTAGACAACCATTCCTGAACCGATCGTCTATTTGAATAATGGATAGCTATGTTGGAAACAATCCCAAAGTACACTAGTTCTTAAAAAAAATTTCCAAAATACATAAGTTATAATTTTTTCCCCAAAAGTACGCATGTTTCACATTCTCCGTTTTTTACAAACGCAGTGAATATAACTACCGCGTTTGACAAACACGGTGAACATTTCACCGTTTTAGATTAAAACGAGGACGTGTTCACCGTATTTAACTAAAGCAGTGAAGAGTTCACCACGTTTAACCAAAACGGTGAAGACATCACCGTGCAAATTAAACGCGGTGAATACGCCACCGTTTTAGGGCAAGGCGGGGAACATCTTCACCGCCCTAGGTTACGACGGTGATTGTTTCCCACGTTTCCCACCCCTGGTAGGTGAAAATTAGGTCACAACCACCTAATGTTCACTGTTTGAGACAAAACGAGGTGATGTTGTTCACCGTTTGAGACAAAGGCGGTGAATGCTGGCCGATGTAGCAAATATGACCGATGTTATGAATTACTGGAATTAAGCTAATAGTTACTTATTGTAAATTGTAGATATGGGTAAATTCAAGAAGTTTCAGCTTATTATTCGGTGGAATGGAAGGGTGACAAACTCTGACATAGGGATTGATTATGAAGACGGTGTATCCACTATGCTGAAAATTGAGTCGCGATTCAATTTTCAAGAACTCTGTGATATTTGTGCAGACATGATTTGTACGAGCGGACATACGAGACTTGGTAAAATTAGTTACCGGTATCCAGACATGAGTGCTGGCGGGGTTGTTTACCAAGAAGTTGTCATAAACGATGATGACGTGGTTACGATGATGTTACAGTTCCTAAACGATAACGGGATGCGGCTTGAAGAGGTGTATGTTGAGACCGAGGCGGTCGGTGAAACTCATTCTCCCCAGTATTCTTATGATGATGGTTTTGCAGGAGGGTACAGATGGGGTGGTAGTTCGAGCAACTACGAAGGAGGTGGTTATACAGGAGGTTACGGAGAGGGTGGTAGTTCAAGCAACTACGATGGAGGTAGTAGTGCAGGACGGGTGCCATCGGAAGAATACTCGCAACAGGATCAACCTGCCGATGACGTTCAATGGCCTGCTTGGGGGCCTGAGTGGGCTGAAATCGAGAATACCATTCGATGAGGGCGTACTTCACATGAGCGAGAAGACGATGTTGGTGATGATGGTCATGTTGATCCTTCTGGCCTGAGATATCCATTCGACTCGAGCGACGATGATACTGAGGAAGATTTGAGATCAGTGAGCGAGGAGGAAGATACTGATGATAACGACGACGAGGCGGCATTTCGTGAGGCACCAACGCCATACTACACACAGGTTCCAACTCAATTTTTACCTAGTCAGAATGATGCCTCCGACTTTATCCCTATGCCAGTGTATAATCCGACGGCCAATTTGGAGGTGGGTATGGCGTTCTCATCGAAGGACGCTGTGCATGATGCTTTTACCGAAGAGGCCTTGAGGCACAATTTCGAGTGGAAGGTAAAATATTCTGACAGTAAACAACTACATGTCATATGCAAGAATGATGCAGAGGGTTGTACGTGGCAACTGCGAGAAAGGGTGCCTGGGTGATTCGAAAAGATGAGACCAACCACACTTGCTCCTCGTCCATACGTTCTCAGGATCACAGGCAACTTAAAGCAAAGAAAGTTGGGAGAACTATTAAGCACCTTATCGAAGCACAACCAGATATCAAGGTCAAAGCTATCATGACCGAGGTAAAGGATCGATATTCTTACACGATAAGGTACAAAAAAGCATGGCATGGAAAGCCGAAAGCCATGGCTGAGGTGTATGGTGATTGGGAGGATTCGTATTCTTTACTCCCTAGACTTATGGTCGCAATGGAGGAGTCCAACCCTGGGACTGTTTTTGTGCCAGTATACAACAATGTATACATTGAGGATCAAGTTCGAGTACAGGAGAAGTTGATGTTTCACCGTCTATTTTGGGATTTCAAACCATGCGTTGACGGGTTTGTGTTCTGCATACTAGTTATTCAAGTATTTTAATAATTGTTACAATTTGAAATGTTGTATTCTTTCCTGCTAAGTAAATTTCATACTAATTATATCCTAATTTTTAATTAGGTTGATGAAAATTTCCTTACTGAGAAGTACATAGGAACTCTTCTCATTGCCACTGGCGTTGATGGAAACATGTGGATTTTTCCGCTTGCATTTGCATTAGTGGAAGAGGAGAACAGCTTAAGTTGGACATGGTTCCTTGACCAACTACACGAACACGTGACACAGCGGGAGGGTAATAAATCCACGTAATAAATCAAAATTAATTAAACCTTAAAACAAAATAATTAAACTACGAGGGAGATTATGATGACTTACCAACGAACCCATAGGCCTCGTCTCCGGCATCCCTTGAACCACCCATGTCCCTCTATTATCCCAAATGTTGATGTAGAACTGATCCTTTAGAAGCCATTTCTTTGCCGAGTGTTGGAGGTCGATGGCATGGAGCTCCCTGAAACCTTGAGGCGGGGTTTGTGGAATTGGTTGCTCCATTCGGTATTGCCTCAAGGATCGATCGGGTAGGTGCCACTCCACGATGTGCCAGCAGATCAATGGCACCTTGCACAACCACGTCTCGTGATCCTGGGGGTGTCTGAGATGATGCAGCTCGACTATTTCACGTGGATATGGGTCCCATGTAACCTATACTCATTAAAAATTTGGAATTAGCGACCATTTACATTGAAAGAAATTAAATTGTTAAAATATGATAAATCATGATTACCTGGTTCCACCAAGGCTTATCTAACTCAGAACGATAAAACAGTAAAGAGTGCTCAGGTTGATGGTCATTTGTATTTGCTCCTATCCACCTTGTAAGTAAAAGTATGGAATAAATTTAAATTAGGCTAAGTACGGAATAAATTTAATCGAAATATAGCTAAGCATGGAATAAATTTAAATTAGGCTAAGTATGGAATAAACTTAATTTAAATATATCTAAGCATGTAATAAATTTAAATTAGGCTAAGTACGGAATAAATTTAATTTAAATCTAGCTAAACATGGAATTAATTTAAATTAGGCTAAGTACGAAATAAATTTAATTTAAATCTAGCTAAGCGTGGAATAAATTTAAATTATGCTAAGTACGGAATAACTTACTTGACACCGTAGGGGGGATTTTGCACAAAGTGTAGCTCATCATCTGCTCTCCGGTATGGACGTGGGTCTTCAGGTGCGAACATTGGAAGATGCTCCCATACCTAGAGCTGGAGGATGAACATAGCAGCACCAGCTTGTTTCGCTCCCACCTTCGAGCAAGTACACAGCTCCCGGTATACGCCAGCTAACACGGTCGATCCCCAACTCTTTTCCCCTATTGCGTCCCAATCACCAAGGAGCAATGACAACCATATGCGTTCAATCCACCGGTTTGAATTGTCGGGGAACAGAAATCCATCGACCAAACCAATGAGGTAGATGCGTGCATAGTGCTCCACTTGATCTTCCGGCGTCTCGTTGTCGATGACCACGTCATTTTGGATGTGAGTAACGAGCCACAGGACCGACACTTGTCCCGCATTCAATGGTGGATGCCCCTGTCCTTGAATTGGTGTGGTGGTCGGCATGTCAAAACCCAAACGATCACGAATGAGCGGCCCCCAACCTCCTTCGGGTTTGGTAGTGCTCTCAATGATGGCCTCTCCAGAAATTGGCAGCCCGGTGAAGATCACGACGTCTTTGAGGGTGATCG